AGAGGAGCAACTGTTGGGTGCAAAACCTGCTTTTTCTGGATCAAGCAGCCAGTGGCTGGGGAAGGTTTGACTTTGTGCCAGCAGGAGGTCTGGGCCCAAAGCAGAAGAAAGTTGCAATGTCATGGAGCTGGTGTTCCCCTGGAGTGGCTGTGCTGGATGTGGCTGAGGAGCTGTGATACTGTTATCCCCAATGGGACAGATCCAGGCGGTGGAGCTGTGGGTGGTGGGGGGTCTGTGCTGCTCAGGAGTAGCACTGCAGGTCACTGAGCTTTTTCTCCTTTCTGAGTCGCTACAGGAAGTTGCCAAGGGGCAGCAGTCTGAAGTTCGGCCCCAGAACTATACTATTGAGCTAATATTTCTGCATCTTCAGTTCACCCTTTTCCAAACCTCTTAAGGGGTGTTTGAGCTTTAAAATGGTTGCAAGCCCCAGCACTGTGATGTGACATGTCTGCTTCATAGGCAAAGATGTAGGTTGGGTTCAGGTTGGTGATCAGACCTTGGAGCCCGAGAGCCTGCTTTGGAAGAAATCTGCTCAATAAACACGTTTTTTCCTGGCAAACCTGGTACCTTTGTGCCAGTAGATGCATGTGCTGTCCCTAACCCTGCTGATATTTAGCTTTCAGCATTGAAGGAGCAGGTTTTACCATGCAGACATGGTAATGCATTTCCCCTCCCTCTAGTTTTGTATATATTATATGCTACAGCTACTTCCTTAGGGGATGTTTTCTTGCCCAGAAGTGGTCACTTCTTAAGTGCACAGTGCATACACAGTTTGCAAAGGGAAAGCTATGTGCAAAATGTTACTGTCAGCTGCAGGTTGGGGCACTCAGGTGTTTGTAGTGCACAGCACTATTTAAGTTATGGCTCACAGCGAGTGTGTAAGGTGATTGCTCAAATAGGTTTCCTTTCAGTTTGCACTTTATTCTTTCCCCTTGGCTGGGTCAGCAGAGGGTAGGGTGTCTATGACAGAGCAGTGAATTAAACCCTGGGAGCCAAACCTTGCCCTTTAAGGGCCTTTGCTCCTGGCCAAGGGCATGTTTCTGTCTGCCCCATCAATCTTGCTCAGCTGCACCCCTTGGCTGGGTATAAAACCCTTCTGCAAGCAGAGCTAGGTTTTGCCGGTTGGGGTTGGGTTAGCTGCTGTGTTTTGGGGGAGTTTGGCTGCAATTTCTGCTCTAGGATTCAATTTCTGCTCAAAGTTTCAATTTCTGCTTTGGTTTTCTTTCTTTCCCATTAGACTTTATGGCAGTGAGATGTGTTCTTGAGCATCTCAGAGGTGAAGTTTTTTCCCTGCTGCTGTAAGTGGTGGTGTGAGCACATCAGGGCATGAAGGGCTTAGAGAAATTTTCAAATTTGTTTTGTAAAAACTTCTTTCTTTGTTTCTGACTGCCTGAAAGGGCACTAAAAATGCTCCTGATGGGTCCTCTCTGGAAGTGGCATGTGGGGCGTTATCTGTCCTTTCCACTCTGTTTCCTCTTCTTCGTCCTTCTGAAGAACAAAGATATAAACACGGAGCAGAAGAAAAATGGAAGAAGCGACTCCCTGCCCAGGGGAAACCACAAATAACAGCCTGGGAGTAAACAGCACTGACAGCCCCACGATACAAACACGGGGTCCAGGCCTCGCAGTGGGAAACTTGCTTTATTTTTAAAAGCCTGTTGGTAGGACACAGTGCTAAATAGCAAAGGAGTTAAAAGCATCTGAGGTTGAGGAGGCTGTAGTCCTATCTGCAGTTATAGTGGTGTTTTCAAATGAATTACAAGCAATTAGGTATCATAATGCAGCCAAAGCATGTGAGCAGCTGGGCTTGCTGGGAGTGGAGCAGCTTGCACTGTGTCTCCCAGTCACGAGCTGGGGATCCTGCCCCTCATTTTTACAAAAGAGGCCAATAAAAGCCAGCAAAGGGCTGGATGTGAGCAGGCCCAGGGCTCTGCAGGATCATCTCTTGATTCCCCTGTTCATAAGCTGATGTGATTGCTGCTCTCTGGCTGCCCAAACCCCTCTGGCCATGGTGGGCTTTTCCCCTCAGTGCCTGCCTTTATATTCCTCTGACATGGCTCTTTATTGCAGCAGGATTTTGCAAAGCCCATATAAATCGTTCACATTCAGAATAAAAAGAAAGAGGCACGGGGTGGTGGATGCAATTAAAAGGGCAGCTCAGCTCAGCTTTCCGTCTAGACAGCCTTCTCCTAAAATAACCGGCAGTTGGAGCATCCACCTCTGAGCAGAAAGGGCTCCTCTCTGCGCCGGATCCCACGGCCTTTGCAATCACAAAAGACTTGGCTTGCTGGGTCCTGGACAAACCGCAGGACTGGGGCCGGGCAGGCTTGGACTCATGTTGCATGGAGCCAGACCTGGGTTTAGGGCTTGGGAAGGGGTGAGTTGAAAGATGAACTTCCCCAACCTGGAATGGGAGCCCTTTCTGTGCTGGAGTGTGGAAGGAGATTGCAATTCAGCAACTGGACATCCTCTAACCGTGCTTCTCTGACCCCATCTGAGCAATGATTTATGACTTGAATTTTAGCAGCACTTGAGCTGCTTCATCAGCATGGCCACAGCTGAAGGGCTGTGTGTGGCTGAGGCAGAGGGGATTTCCCTCCCTGGTCAGTCAAGATAGATGGAATAAATGGGACATTTTGTGTGCACATCAGCGTGAAAACCATGCTGGGATTTCCTGGAAGTGACAGCAGTGATAACTGCTCCTTCCTAAGGAATGGTAATGGCCTCAAGTTGCACCAGGGGAGGTTCAGGTTGGATATTAGGACGAATTTCTTTACTCTAAGTGTTGTCAAGCACTGGAACAGGCTGCACAGGGAGGTGGTGGAGTCACCATACCTGGAGGTGTTTAAAAAATGAGTAAGTGTCATGCTTAGGGGCATGGTCTAGTGGTGGACTTAGGGCTGGATCAATGGTTGGACTCGATGATCTTAAACGTCTTTTCCAACTAAAACCCTTCTATGAGTCTATGGTAGCAACTGGTGCACGTGGATGTAAACCCAGCAGCACTGAAGCAGGTGAAGCGCAGCAGCTGTTTAGCAGGGCCCATTAGTGCTGCAGAACAGTTTGGCATGGGACACGTGGAACGGCGGGGAAAGAAAAAGCTGTCTGCAATGAGCAGAGGCCACTCTGGGAGGTTTCAGTTGGCTTTGGTGAGCAGGGCCTGAATTTGCTCCATTGCATGAATGTCAGGAGGCAAGACAAGAGGTAGAATCACAGCATGGTTTGGGTCGGAAGGGACCTTAAAGCTCATCTGATCCAACCCATCCAACCTGGGCTTGAGCACTTCCAGGAAGGGGGCATCCACGGCTTCCCTGGGCAACCTGAGGCAGTGCCTCACCACCCTCAGAGTGAAGAATTTCCTCCTTATATCTAATCTAAACCTACCTCCTTCCAGTTTAAAGCCATTACCCCTCGTCCTATTACTCCATGCCCTCGTAAAAAGTCCAAAGTCGAGCATGCCAGCCGTTACTGTGCAGGATGTTCCCTGCAGACAGGGATTTGCTGGCAGGGCTCAGGCACGGATCATCGGATCATCGCTGCTGCCCCGGCTGGAGGCTGTGCCCTGCTCTCTGGTTCAATCTCTGCTTTCGCCTCCGTGAGTGCAGCCTGCAAGGATTTGGTGGGAAGCGTGGTCACTTCTCTGGGAACAGACGCTGCTCTGGCCATTTGCTGCACCAAGCACTGAAGGTTGCTAATCTGAAGCGTAGCTTTATTTGGAAGTTTTGCTACCTTTCAGGTATTTGCCGCAGAAAGCTGTTTCTTTGCAGGGAAGCTGGTGGGAGTGAAACTGTGGCAGGAAGATAGGACTGGGACTGAGACTTCAGTGCTGCCTAATTCTCCATCTGAGCAGCCCAAAGCATGATTTTTCTCCCTTTCACTGGGTGGTTTGTGCTTCAGTTTACCTGTATCATGTCCTGCCTTGCTTCTCTGGTGAATTAATTGATGCTGCATCCTGAAAGACCTCTCAAGGAAGGCTGCAATTACTCGTTTTGATCTCAAACTTTATAAGGCAAGGGGAAGGCAGAAGTATTTGTGAGCACGGCCCTGTCCTGGTGCTGTGAGGCATCACTGAGTGGCATTTTGCTTGTTTATTTATTTTTTTTTTTTAACGTAGGGAGTTACACACCCATGAAGCCTGGAAATAGCTGGGCAGTGACTCAGCGCAGGGGCTGGTTTAACTGGTCTGCTCTGGGAGGCAGCTGTGTTTGGCAGCTGGGGAACGCTCTTTCCAAAAGGTTGGACTCCCCAGGGACAGGGGGTGTTTTTACTCCCTGTGTATTTATTTTACCTCTGAGCTTGGCCAGCCCTGTGTCTCACGGCTTGTTGCACATGGCTTTTGTGTTTCCAGTACAGCTCAACTCCCAGGGTCTGATGTGAAGCTGGAGGAGAGGCTTTGTCTTGATTTCTGCGGGAACAGATCAGGGCTAATTTCTCTGCTCATATTTTATTTTACATCCTCTCTGAGAAAGTGCGTGCCCTGCAATTCATTTTACCCCAGCACACTGGTCCATGCACACATCACCCCAAATAACAGGCTGCATTGTGCCCATACCGAGGACCTCACTAGCTGGTTTGCAAGGGCATGGAGTGACAGGACAAGGGGTGATGGCTTTAAACTGGAAGGGAGGAGGTTTGGATTAGCTATAAGGAAGAAATTCTTCACTCTGAGGGTGGTGAAACACTGGCACAGGCTGTCCAGGGAAGCTACGCATGCCATGCCCCAGAAGTGTTCAAGGCCAGGTTGGACAGGGCTTTGGGAAGCCTGGGCTGGTGGGAGGTGTCCCTGCCCATGGCAGGGGTTGCACTGAGGGAGCTTTAAGGTCCCTTCTCACCCAAACCACTCTGTGATTCCATGTGGCCACCTCCCTCAGCTGTCAAAGAGCTTAATGGGAACCAGGATTGGGATGGTGGCATGGGGGTTGTAGCTGAGGCCATGGGCTATGAGGGGGGTCTCGTTCTCTGTGTTGCCCACGCTGATGTTTCTGTCTGTCTTTCCGCAGAATGGCTGCAGTCTGTCCAAGCGATGATGATCCTCTCCATCATCTTCAGCGTCTTGTCTCTGTTCCTGTTCTTCTGCCAGCTCTTCACACTCACCAAGGGTGGGCGGTTTTACGTGACTGGAATCTTCCAAATCCTTGCCGGTAAGTGCGGGCTGATCAATGGGGCTGGCACCGGTGTGGAAAGGGCTTTCAAGCAGAGGAGAAGGTAATGGTGGAAACGAACGTGCTCTTGGGTACCGAAGCAGAAGGGCCACCAAACTGGCTCCTGCATGGCTCAGTGAAAGGAAATGGGGTGAATAATTTCAATCTGTGAGGTCTTGTATGCCCTGGGATGGGGTCCAGCTGTCGGGGCATATTGTGCATCCAGGCTCTTCTGCACTTTGATCGTGGAAGGTGCAAGAGAGTCGCTGCCCCGGCCAGGGCAGTTTCTGCGGGGACACACTGAGGGTCCAGGGTGGCTTTGGGACCCACCTTCATGAGGCTGAGTGAGGTTTCTGCGACTGCTGGTGAGGCAGGGGAAGTAGTGATGATCCTCTTTTGGCGAAAAAGCATCTGATGAGTATTTATAAACTTGCCATAAGGGGGGCTGGTGATTTCCACATCAGCAAAGAGCTGCTGGAGCTGCAGGGTGAGCCAGCTGACTTTGAGCCGTCAGCTTCTATATTTAACTCTTAAAGAACTGAGTGCTGGAAATGAGCCATGGTTCACATCCTACGTTGCAGTTCTCCAAATATAGATGCTGTAAAGCCACTGGCTCTGTTTACGTTTCCACATATGAAAGCAGTAGAGAGGATTTTCAAGCATTCAGATGAGAAAAATTAAATTGTGCAACGAGGTTCTGGCCAAATTATGACAGACTGTCTGGGAAGGAGACTAATCATTTGCTGAAGCTTTAGATGACTAAAAGCCACCCTAGGTCCTGCAACTAAATCGGTGGAAAAACTCATCCACTAAGCAACTGGCCTTCACAAACCCTGGAGAAGTTTAGAGCTAACCTTTATTAGCAAGTGCAGCATGAAATCTATCATAAGTGTATCTGCTTCGCCGTGATGCAGGTGATGAGTTCAGATTAGTTCACTGTCTCTGGAAAGTTAGATGTGTAGAAATCCATTACAGCTGTGGAGACAAGGAGGGGAAATGGGCATTAATAATGCAATTATCTCCCTGAGAGCCTGTCTAATAGATCTGGGAGCAGAAGGCTTCTCTCCTGAGTGATTGGTGGTGAATCCTTGTTCTCAGAGAAAAAGAAGATGCAGTCCTCCTGTCCATGCTGTGCTGGGTGTCCTAAGGGGATGCAGGGTGGCCATAGACCTGCTGTCTCTTTCCTTGTGGGGCCTAAGGCATGGCTGAAATCCATCCCCACCCAGCACGAGGGACAGGAAAAGTGTGACTTGATTCCCATGAAGCTTTCCCATGGCCTGGGGGACCCGTAAGGCAGAGGTCTGAGTTCACATGGAGAGATGGGCACTGATGGCCATCCTTGCTGTTCTCCCCAGCCAGGGCTCCATCTGCCAAATTCCTTGTGCAGACAATTGCCACTGTATTTTCTGCCGTCTGTAGGTGACCGGCATGGCCGCACGCCTGTTCTCTGTCCTACCAGCCTCAGCAGAGCGTTGTTGTCCTCTCTTTGCATGGGTCGGAGCAGTGGGAGTTGGCTCTCGTGCTCAGAGAATGGAAACTGCCCCAGCGGCATGTTCCTGAAACGTGTTCCCACTCCTGCACTTTCCCAGAACAAAGGAGCAGTGTCAAGTGGAATTGCAGCTCAAATATCACGGTGGTTAAATGTAGGTGGTCCTGAGGTCCGTGCAGGGGATTTGGAACTCAGCTCTGACAACAGCCCCGCGACTGTATAATAGAACTGCTGGGATTGACTGAAAGAGCTTGTTTTTTGGGCAGAAATAGTGGTGGCTTTGTGTTAACTCTGGGCAGTCCCCAATGCTGATGGGTTGGTTTTTTTTGCAACAAAGCTAAAACACTGCCTACCGGAGCTGGGCCTGGCTGGACGGCCCTTGGGGACCTGTGCTGGCCTGTGGCTGGCAAGGGTGGACACCAGGATGAGCCCTGGGCACAGTGGAGCTTGCAGAGAGTGGGGTTTGCAGCTGAGCTCCTCTCGCAGCCCTGGAGCAGGACAGGTAATCGCAGGGCACAGACCGGCCCATCCAGAGCAGAGCATCCTTGGCCCACAGCTGCATGTGCCTGGGCTGGTGATAAAGAAACCTTTGTGCTTATGAAAAAGACAAAAAGAGTTTGTGTCTGACCTCTTGCAGCAGCTCTGGTAGAGTGGTTCAGGCTCCAGTCTGGGTTTTAAATACGCTACCCAGGGGAGTGTGGCTTGTTCGAAGCAACAGCCTGGAGCTGGGTGATGCCCAGTGCTTGCCTGAGGGATGGGTTAGCCCAGGCGATGCTCTGGCTTTGCTTGCTCCAGGGGCTCTGGCTTTGCTTGCTCAGAGCCTGGCAGAAATATCCCCACTCACCTGCTGCCAGGGCAGAGCCCACAGCATCCCACCCCCATTGGGGTGCATTAAGATATGGGGCCAGTTAGTCAAGGGGGGTTATGCTCCCCCTCTGCCCTGCCCTGGTGAGACCGCATCTGCAACACTGCGTCCAGTTCTGGGCTCCCCAGTTCAAGAAAATCAAGAAACGACTGGAGAGAGTCCAGTGTGAAGCCACTGAGGTGATGAAAGGATTGGAGCATCTCCCATATGAGGAAAGGCTGAGAGAGCTGGGGCTGTTCAGCCTGGAGAAGAGGAGACTGAGGGGGCGGTCTCATTAATGCTGATAAATATCTCAAGGGCAAGGGTCAGGAGGATGGGACCAGACTCTGTTCAGTTGTGCCCAGTGACAAGACAAGGGCCAGTGGTCACAAACTGGAACACACGAGGTTCAACTTAAATGTAAGGGAAAACTTCTTTCCAGTTAAGGTGACAGAGCATGGCCCAGGCTGTCCAGAGAGGTTGTGGAGTCTCCTTCTCTGGAGACATTCAAACCCGCCTGGATGTGTTCCTGGGTGATCTTCTCTTGCGCTCCTGCTCTAGCAGGGGTGTGGATGATCTCCAGAGGGCCCTTCCAACACCGACCATGCTGTGATTCAGTGAAATCATAGCATAGTTTTCCAGGAGACAGGGCACAAGGGAGCAATAATAAAACCAGTTTCCTATGCTGGCGTTGGGTATTATCCTTTCCACCTCTGGGTTTCCAGCAGGGATCGTGTTGTCGCTAACCCCTTCCTCTGTGCACTTCCCTGGCAGGGCTCTGCGTGATGACCGGCGCGGCCATCTTCACTGTGAGGCACACGGACTGGCACCAAGCCTCGGAAAACACCTCCTATGGCTTCGCCTATATCCTGGCGTGGCTGGCCTTCCCCCTGGCCCTCGCCAGCGGCATCGTCTACGTCATCCTACGGAAACGCGAGTGATGCCGCGGGAGGCGGCGTGGAGTGACAAGGGCACTCATGATGTCCACGGAGGAGACGGAGGCGGGGGAAAATAGACGAGAAAACGGAAAAGAAAATTAACCAAAAAAAGAAAAAAAAAAGAAAAGGAATAAACCCTCCCACCAAAACCAAAACCAAACCCAAACCCAACCAACTCCAAAAGGAAACACTCAAAGGGTTACTTGTTAATTGAAGATGTATATAGTATCTATGGTTTAAAAAACCTATTTATAACACTTTTTACATATATGTACATAGTATTGTTTGCTTTTGTTGACCATATGCTATGTTTTAAAGCCTAAAGCAAGTGCCTAAGGAACTATTACTCCTAACAGTGTAACAAGAGCGCAGTGATTTTTTTTCTCTCATGCAAAATCCTCTTTGACCTGAACTCTTCTCCCCCATCCCAGCCTGTATCGAACCATCAGAAAACCCCAGCTCTGACTGGTTTTAGGCTGGTGTAAATGGGAGTTATGCCTGTTCATGCCAGCCAGAGGGTTGGGCCCCACTCTTGCCACATGCTGTGATCCTGGCAACCGAAGTGCACGTCCAGATCTGACGGGAGACGCTTCCGAAAGGTTTGAAGGATTTCGGAACAAAGGCTTTGATTGCCCCAAGTGCCTAAATGACTTATGTGCCTAAGTCCCATTGCCTTGCCACCACACCCGCTGGGAATTTGGGCTTTTAAATCACTTAGGTTGAATTGCAGTCTAGCACGGGCCGTCCTCCTTTGCCCGTGGGGCTCCGGGAGTGCCGGTGGGGCTGGGGTGTGTGCCGTGCCGTGCCGTGGGTGCACTGATGCTCCCAACCGTGAAACGTGCTTTATCCTTGCCGTGGAGCTAAAGTACCGATGAGAAGTAAACCCAGTATATCTATGAAATCAAATACCAGATATATGAAATGGTGCTATCTATTTACCATTCCTTATATTGCTAGCCATTTAACCTTATTCACTGGAAATTCAGTTAACAATCTTGAGGTAAACAACAAAGCTAGAAATGAGAAATAATTCTGTGTAATATAAATGAGCTGTAACTGCTTTTATATTTAGATTTGCTCTTACCATTATTTTTAATAAAGCATTTATAACCAAGGTTCCTTCCCCCTCCGCCCCTCCCCGTGCTCAAGAGGAACAGAAACAGCTCTGGGTGGAGCCCTGTCGGCCTTCGCCCCTGGAGCGAGATGTCTGTCCTCTATCTGTGCGTCAGCGATGTGTCTGGCCATGAATTGAACGGGCACCTGCGCAGACCCCAGGCTGCCTCCTGAGGACTCCAGACACTGCGTTGCTGTTGTTGTTTTTTGTTTCATTTTGGGTGGGATTTTTTTTGTTTTGGTTCTTTTTTTTTTTTTTTTTGCTTTGCTTTTCTGATTTTATACCGACTGTGTGGACTAAGAAGCAATGAAATAAAAGTCAGAATAACTCAGTTGCTTCTGCCTTTTTGGCATTTTTGCAGGTTAGAGCTGTGCTCCACCAGTCTGCTTGCACGGCCATTCCACAGAAGGTGTCAGTGATGTGTCCATAGGTGTCTGTAGCACCTTTACAGGTCAATTCAGAACACTGAGAGAGGCTCTGAGCCCACTGGGCTGCCTGCATGGCAGCCCTGCCTGCATGCCAGCCGTACCTGTGCTGGAGGGGTAAGGCTGCTCCAGGGTTAGCACTGGGGCCGGGGATGGAGCTCAGGGGCCCGTGTCATGGTGCTGGTGTGTGCTAATCTTTCTGCCTCTGTCCAAAGATGCTCCTATGACGTGACCACCAACTCCCCAGAGACAGAAGCTGGCAGGACCACACGTACCCTTCCCGGTCCCCTGAGCAGGGATGGTTCAGGTCAGCATCAGCTGCCCCAGGGGGATCCGGCCAGCTCTGCCACCCAGCACAAACAGCAGAAGCCTTTCAGCCCTCTGCACCAAAACACCCAGGGCCTGGGGCTGCAGTTGCGGCCGGGGGGATTAGCACATTGTGCGCAGTGTGTGCAGCCTTAATGGCTGGCACGGAAGCCCTCGCACTTCCGTTTGCTCATTCATTTGGCTATTAAATATCCGAGCTGATGTAGCAACTGGTGCTGGCAGAAGCACAATGGCTTTTGCAACTCCGTGTCCTGAGGCCAGTTATTAACATCAAGCCAGATCCCAAAGCCCTCAACCCAGCCACATCCCAAGGGTCTTTTGTGGAGTGGCTGAGGGAACCGGGATTATTTAGTTTGGAGAAGAGGCTGAGGGACCTTATCGCCCTCTACAACTACCTGAAAGGAAGGTGCAGAGAAGTGGATGTTGGTCTCTTCTCCCAAGTAACAAGCAACAGGACGAGAGGAAATGGCTTCAAGCTGCATCAGGGGAGGGTTAGATTGGATATTAGGAAAATTTTCTTTACTGAAAGAGTGGTCAAACACTGGAACAAGCTGCCCAGGGAGGGCACCATCCTTGGAGGTGTTAAAAAAATGTGTAGATGTGGCGCTTTGGGACATTGTTTAGTGGTCATGGTGATGTTGGTTTGACGGTTGGACTTGAGGATCCTAGAGGCCTTTTCCAACCTTAATGATCTGATGATCCTATGATTTAATGGAGCAGGAGCTGCCTTGCACTGTGGCCACTCAGCACAGAGCCTGGTAGCACAGTGTGACCACCCTGCCATCTTTTTTGATGGCTGGGGCTCCTGGTCGTGGTCTTCCAGCTGGGAGCATTTCCCTGTGTGCTCACTTTGCCAAGCTGTGACTCAGCCTGGGAGAGTCTCTTGCTTCCTGAGGCATCATTCATGTCCCTGCGAGCTGCAGAGCTGGGCCACATGATCCCTCCGGGTCTTGCAAGGCTTGACACCATGTACCTGGCAAAGGAGATACAAATTTCCCTTCTGAGGAGCAAGTAAGAACACAGGTGGGAATTATTTTTCCCCTCCTATATGAAAATTAAAGGTGCTCTTTTTCACTTTGGATTCATGCTCAGAAGGCACAAAAAGGCTGACTGCTTCAGTTTTTGCCTCTCACTGCAGTGTTCTTAGTCTGTTCAAGGTGTAAACAAGTGAGCAGCATCAGTTCTCATCTCAGTGTTGCTTAGTTGCTTTGTTTCAGAGATGCATTTTTGAAAGCATGCAGAGCAAGATGACTTTTGAAATGGAAACAATGCAAAGGTTTAGATTCCTATTGGAAAACATGCAAGGGGGAACTGCAGCTGAATTGCACCGCAATAGATGTCTGCATCCCCCCTCCCCAAACTGTCTCATGTGGGTTGACTCCATTGGGTTGGAAAATGACAAATCATAGAGCCATTGACTGGTTTGGGTTGGAAGAGACCTTAAAGATTACCTAGTTCCAAACCCCCTGCCATGGGCAGGGACACCTCCCACCAGACCAGGCTGCTCAAAGCCCCATCCAACCTGGCCTTGAATACTTCCAGAGAGGGGACATCCACAACTTTCCTGGACAACCTGTGCCAGTGCCAAACCACCCTTAGAGTGAAGAATTTCTTCCTAACGTCTAATCTAAATCTCCTCCTTTCAGTTTAAAGCCATTTTGCCTTGTCCTGTCATCACCTGTCCGTGTAAGACCCTGCTACCCTGGCTCTCAACCATGGTTGCAAACGCAGCCCACACCTCAGGGCTGCTCCGAGGCCCGTTTCGCAGCATCGCACTGTCCTCCAACGACCTCTTTAAACTTTTTTTTTTTTTTGCCTTAATTCAGTCAACGCGGGCCTCCCCGGTGCCCCATGGGAGGCAGGGAGAAGCGGATGGGGAACCCGGTCCCGATCGTGGTCGGCGGCCGCCGCCCGGTGGCTGCAGGCGGCACGGCGGGACCTGGGCAGGGCCTACGCAGGGAACCACCCCACCCCTGCATTCTCAACCGGGACCCAACCCCTCCTCTTCGAGAAGTGGGGAGTTTTGGGGCGCACGGCCAGTGTGTCCGGCTGGGTGACAACAGGGACCGGGCAGAAGTGTTGTCCCCCGGAGTGAGAACATTGCCAGCAGGCTGGTGGGTGATGGGACACAGTCTTTGCATGGGTTAAAACACAAAAATTTACTAATTAAAAATGCAGGGAGTCTGAAGCTCTCCAGACTTGTCTCCTGCCTGAGGTGGAGGAAGTGTCCAATGCTGGACAGGACTGGTTTTTGTTTAGGTGAGCCTTGAAAACCTCTGAGTGTGAGTAGTCCCCATCATCCCCCTCCTAGTGAAAAAAAACAACCACCTTTCGTAAACTCCAGCTCAAATGTTCCCAGGCCTCAATCTGCCCCTGATTACGTCAAATAGCCACCGTGACTGCCCTCTAATCCCTGGCCAAAGAACCCAGCTCCTCGAGGGATGTGGGGACCACCAGCATTGGGGCTGGAGGTACCTCACCCACGTCGGATGCTTCACTCCCCATGGCTCTTCCAGTCCACAAGAGGACAGAAGATGTTAAGGCAGGACCCAGCATTTCTGCTCGATCAGCTGTAAATACACTCTGAGCTAAATGAAACTCAAAAATTACAGTGCACCCTGGGGCTCCAGCCCAATTAAAATCAAGGCAGCCCGTAAACCAGTTAGCTGAACAAAACAGCGGCAGTATGGTGCAAAGTGGCAGAGGGGTGAACAGAATATTGGGGAAGTTTCTTTAACGTGTGTTGTATCATAAGGGCGATTGTTTAAATGGTGCTCTCAGCAGTAAATACTTCTGAAAAATGCGCTGAGCAAATCTCATCTTCCTCTTTCATTTACTGCTTTGTAAATTGGAAAATTATGGTAGGAATAAACCCCCTCGGTGTTTGGGAGAAGCTGGGTTGTTCACAGCGCCGCTGCGGCTCCTGGGTGCAGCCAGGCGGTGGCAGCTCGCAGCTGCGTTTCCCGCAGCATCTGGGTTTCCCTACAGCGCTGAGCAGACAGAGAATCCTAGGTCTGTGCTTGGCCACGCTGCAGATCCAGGTGGGAATGGCTGGGATATCAACCAGCTGTCCTTGACCAGGGCATCAGCCAGGTCTCCTTGATCAGGGTGTCAGCCTGGTCTCCTCACAGAGCTTGCAGCAGTGGACACGTTGGCCGTTCCTGCTCTTTGGCTGTTGTTGCAAAGCTCTCTTTCTTCTGGCACCAATACACAGACTTAAAGAAGTATAGATAAGGTGGGTGCTAGCATGCTGACTACACTTGGGACATCCAGCTGCTTCAGCCATCACTAAGTGCCAGTTAGTTAATT